CGGCGAAGCCCCGTTTGGCAGTAACGGGCAAACAACGGCTGCTGCTGTACGCGATGTTGCAGGGCGCACTAAGGAATGTCGAGAAAATTCCTTACACGCATCAACATTACACCAAACATTCACCGTTCTATAATAGTTTTAATAATATATGTACCGAACCGAGCCAGCTCAAACCTATCCAAAAAGCCGACCAAGACTGTAGCGAGGGGAAGATAACCCAAAAACCATTTAACATCATTTGGTCAGAGTCATTCTCGTTCTAACACCATCGCCTAGCGCAGCACGCAAGGGGCGGGAGCCAACCCACCTAGCCCGCCCGAAAAGATCCCCGCCGCCTTTGGATTGACGCGAGCTGCTCCCCCCACAGTCCCAATTCCCGCCTACAGTCGGTGCTCATTTCAAGAACACCAGGTAGGCGGGCGGCATGTGTGTGAAACGTGTTGTAGGCATTTCGCCACATTTGCCCTTGTCGTCACGGGCAAAAATATGGCTGTATTATGAAATTGCATTGTGAATCGAGTCAAGGGCTTTAACTTTGTAACCACCTAAACTTTTCAGATGACGGGCACCGTTGTTCATGAACTATAGATGTTTTTCTTCCTCAACTTGGTGACTGTACCCCGAAATCGGCACAATGGTCAATTTAGTCACTCACGGGCAAAATGTTCGCGAGTGACTAAAGCAAATGTTTTGTGATAGGCTTAGCATCGGCTGTAATCGCAAAAACAGGAGGGTTGAGGGGTGGGGAAGATATCGGCGGGATCCTTAGACATCCTGCCGCAGAAGCAGTAGGATATCAGCGGGACCCCTACGGACGGAATTACAAGGGTCGAAGGGCCGGGCCTCGGTTTTCTCGCCAGGAGGGTCGGGCGAGGTGGCAGCTGTTAAGATTGTAAAGTGAATCATTAGTTTGATCAGGGAAAATGTGGGCATACATAGGATGCAAGAAGAGCTTGGAAAGGAAGGGGGAGTGTTGGGTGGTTGTGTAGTCCCTATGGCAACTTGCAAGGAGGGGGCACCCAAATTGCAACCAGGACCATGTGGGTTGCAAGGAGGGGGCACCCAACTTGTGGGTTGCAAAAAGGGGGTACGCAACTTGCACTTGGGGGCTCCAGCACTTGTGGGTTGGATTGACACCCCAACTTGCAAGTCTACACCCCAAAGTTGGGTGTAGTCCTACAAAGCAAGCTACACCCAAAGTTGGGTGTAGCCTCAACCCCTTATAAACTTAGCATGCTATACACACATTTCTAACACAACCCCTTAGCATGCTAAGACAAGAAGGGGACAACCCCTGAATCAAGGGTCGCCCGGGCGAGCAAGGCCGATGAGGCGGAGGAGAGCAGAGTGCGCAGGGCGGAGGAGGGCCTTGGTGAAGATGTCGGCCAAGTTGGCCCCAGCAGCAATCTTGCGTACAGCAATAAGGCCGCGCTGGACGAGCTCGCGGATGAAGAAATAGCAAAGTTCGGTGTGCTTGGAGCGGGCGTGGTAGACAGGGTCCTAAGTGAGGTGGATCGTGCTAGCATTGTCACACCAGAGGGTGGGGCAGGGCTGAGGGGCACCAAGCTCAGCAAGAAGAAAGCAGAGCCAGCGGGATTCCTGAGCGGCGATGGTGCCAGCGTAGAGCTCGGCCTCGCAGGTGGAGAGGGAAATGGAGGAGGAGCGCGTGGAGCGCCAGCTGACAAGGCCGCTGCCGAGGGTGAAGCTGTAGCCCTGAGAGGAGCGGCGGTCCGGCTGCGTGTCGGCACAGGAGGAGTCGGTGAAGCCCGAGAGCAGGGGAGGGGAGGGGCCATCAAGAGTGAGGGCGTGGTCCTTGGTGCCGCGAAGGTAGCGGAGGACCCTCTTAGCAGCTTTCCAGTGCACCTTTGTGTGGCGACCAGTGCCAACAAAGTGAGCGAGCACGCTGATGGGGTAGGTGAGGTCGGGGCTGGTGCACATCATAGCGTACATTAGCGACCCAACGAACTCAGCATAGGGGCGAGTGGAGGAGGAGGGAGAAGTGGGTGGGGCAAGCTGGTGGCCAAAGGGGAGGGGGGTGGCAATAGGACTGGCCTGCGCCATCTCGAACTTCTAAAAGACCTGTCAAATGTAATGGGACTGGGAGAGGGTGATGGTGCGAGCAGGACGGTCGCGAGTGATAGCCATGCCTAGGTAGTGCGTGAGGTCGCCCAGATCCTTGCACTTGAGGCGCTGCTGCAGCTGTTGCGTCATCTGCTCCATGTCAGTCTTGGAGTCAGCAAGCAGGATCATGTCATCCACATACACCAGAATGAAGAAGCGGAGAGGTGAGGAGCGAAGGAAGAGACTGGCGTCAGAATGCGAGGCAGAGAAGCCGAGGGACCCCAAGGTGGCAGACAGCTTCTCGTGCCACTCCCTTGGCGCCTGCTTTAGCCCGTAGACAGGCTGACGCAGCTGCCACACAATGTTGTCTGGAAAGGTGGCGTGGAACCCGGGGGGGCACCGGAGGAAGATGCGCTCGTGCAGGTTCCCTTGCATGAATGCGTTGGAGACGTCCATGGAGCATATCTCCATGCCGTCTAGCGTACCAACGTCGAGGAGGGTGCGGAGGGTGGGCGGCTTGGCGGAGGGGGCGTAAGTGAACCAGCAATCCTCAGCCCAGGTCTGGGTGAAGCCCTTAGCGCAGTAGTGGGCCTTGTAGACCGGATCCTCACCCGGCAGCTGCTTCACCCGAAAGACCCACTTGCCCTTAACAAGGCTGGCTTCGGCCGGGAGGGGGACATCAACGAAGGAGTTGTTACGAATGCATGCCTCACACTCCATGAAGATTGCTGTGATCCACTTGTCCGCATCAGGGCAGGTGATGGCTTCTTGGAAGGTGGAGGGAGTGAAGATGGTCGGGGTGGAGGTGGCGCCAAGGACGGGGAGGCCAAGGAAGTCAAGGAAGATGGAGGCAAGAAAAGGAGTGTGGTGCCGAATGTTGAGGAACTCCTCATGGGAGTCCTCAAGGAGCTAGATGGAGGTGGGAGGAGGGGCTCCAAGGATTTTGTCCACGGAGTGGGTATGCATACGAGGGAGGAGGAACGGGGAGGAGCGGGAAGTTGCTCGGTGCTGCTGCCGCTGCTGCTGCTGCTGCTGCTGCAACTGCTACTGCTGCTACTGCCCTCGCTGGTGCTGCCGCTGCTACTGCTGCTGCTGCTGGTGCTGCTGCCCCTGCTGCAGACCCGGCTGCTGCTGCTGCTGCTGCTGCTGCTGTTGCTGCTGCTGCTATTGCTGCTGCTGCTGCTACTGCTGCTGCTGGCCCGGCCGCTGCAGAGAAGGGGGGGAGAGAGAGGAGGAGGGAGAGGGGGGAGGGGGCGCAGCTGAGTGGGCCGGGGAGGCGGATGAGGCGGGTTCGTAGACGTTGGCAAAGGAGGACGAAGGGAGTGAAGGAGAGGAGCGGGAGGGAGGAGAGGTGGGAGGACAGTGTCGGTCCAGGCGAGGGGGCAAGAGGGAGGAGGGAGAGGGTCAGGAGGAGGAGTGGAGTAGTAGGGAACAGACTCATCGAAGATGACGTCAATGCTGCGGATGAGGCAATTGGTGGGAGGGTGGAGGAAGAGGTAGCCTGGTGAGTCACGATTGTGCCCGAGGTAGACGCACTCCCGGGCACGAGGGGCTAGCTTGCCAGCAGCGTGGGAGCGATCGGCCGATGGGATGAGGACGAAGGCCGGCAGCGTCAGGCTTGGCCTTAGACCAGAGTTCTGTGGGGGAGGAGGAGGGATGCTGAGGGTGGGAGTGGAGATTGAGGAGGAGGGCGGCATGGAGGAGGGCATAGCTCCAGAGGGAAGGAGGGGTGGAGGCGTGAGAAATGAGGCAACGGGCAATTTTGGTGATTTCACAAATGCGACTTTCAGCAATGCCATTTTGCTGAGGGGAGTGGGGGAGGGTGGAGGTTTGCTGAATGCCATGAGTTTTGCAGAAGGTGGCAAGGGTGTTGTTGATGAACTCACCCCCACCGTCAGAGTGAAGGCGGCAAATGGGGCGTTTGAAGTGAGTGCGGCATTGCTCAGCCCAGGTGATGACCACAGCCGGCACCTGGTCTTTGGTGTGAAGGAAAAAGACAGTGGAGTACCGACTGTGGTCGTCGACGAGGATGAGCATGTATCGGTGCCCCTGACGGGAGCGGATAGGATAGGGACCCGAGAGATCCATGTGGACGAGGTCGATGGGAGCGGCAGCAAAGATGGGATGGCTGTGATGGGGGGACTGTTTGAGCTTGCCATGAATGCATGATGGGCATGGGGGAGCAGGGGAGGGGAGGTAAGGTGGGAGGGAGGCTATGAAGGAGGCGAGAGGTGACAGTGGTGCGAACTGCAGCGAAGTTGGGATGGCCAAGTCGGTGATGCAAGATGACTGCTGGGTGGGAGAGGGCAGTAGAGGAGGAGGGGGATGGGGTGGGAGAAGAGGTGGGGAGGGAGGAGGAGGGGGGTGAAGTGGGGGAGGAGGATACCTGAGGGGGAGGGAGAGGGGGAGGAGGACCGGTGGAAGTACCAGCACGAGTGGTAACATGACAGAAAGAGGGACGGGGTGTGCGGAGCGTGTAAAGGCGAGTGCGAGGACAGAGGGGAATGCGCAAAAGGAAGCGACCACAGGCGGTGTGATAGAGATCACAGTAAGTAGCAAAACCAGGGTAAATGGCGGTAATACCGTCACCTTGGAGTTCTTGGTGAGAGAGGAGGTTATTGCGAAGGGTAGGGATGTGGACACCTGTGACCCTACCGGAGGGGAAAGCGGTGCAAGGGAGGGTGGAGAGGTGAGTGCATGGGATGGAGAAGTTGGAGTCAGCACCGTGAACCTGAGTGGGAAGTGGAAGGGGGGTGAGGGTGCCAGCGTCTTTGAGTGCAGTTTCTGTGGCCCCACTGTCAAGGACAAAGTCCAAGGTGGGGGAGGAAAGAGGGGGAGGTGACACGGGGTACTGGAAAGACGTCTCATTGATAGCAGAGGGATACATGGAAGCGACGGATGGTGCAACAGCAACATGACCAAGGAAACTGCCCTGAGAGTCAGGGACACTGGGAGGGGCAGAGGGGATGGAACCCCAGGGAGGGGGGCAAGGGAGGCATGAGAGGCCATGGCCGCTGTGCCGAAGGTCATCGGTTGCTGCTGCCACTGCGGTTGAAGGTACTGCGGCGGGTGCTGCTGCTGGAAGAACTGCTGCTGCGGTGGCTGCTGCGGCTGGAGAAACTGCGGCTGCTGCGGCTGGAGAAACTGCTGCTGGTGGTGCTGCTGAAACTGCTGCTGCTGCTGGTGGTGCTGCTGAAACAGCTGCAGTTGGGAAGGGGGGGAGGGGGTGAACAGGCGGAGGTGAGCGGGGAGGAAGGAGGGGAGGGATTGAATGTCCACGAGGGAGGGGCGAGGGGTAACACTGTTCCAGCGAGGAGGGTTACCAGTGTTGCCGCGGTCAAACCAGGCGTCATCGAGCGCCTTGAAGCATGTGGCAGGGGGGTGGTTGGTCTGCCCACACGGCGTGCCGGCGCGGGGACCATGGCGGCGAACGTATGTGCAGGCTGGGAGAGTCCCACGGCGACCTCCACGGATCACAGCTCCACCAGCTCCCAAGGGACCTCTAGGAGTGGTACCACCAGGACCACCACCACCACCACCACCACGGCCACCACATCCACCACGGCCACCACCCCGACCACCACCACCACCCCCGCCCCCTCCACGACCTCCTCCGCCGCCGTTGCGACCACCCGAGTTGCGCGGCTGCGTGGCATTGAGGGAGGTGGAGGAGGAAGGAGTGGTGGTGAGGTTGACAATGGGGGTGCGGAGCTTGACTTCAGTGTCAATGATCCACTGAGTCACCTCGGTGAGGCCAGCCAAGGGGTTAGCCTCGATGAAGGCGTGCAGGCGGGACTCGTAGTCTGGCGTGAGGTTGAAGAACAGACGATGAATCTGCAGGGGCTCGGAGAGGGCAGCCTGTTGAGCGGCAAGGCGATTAGCGACCTCCTGCATGCGCCCCACGTAGTCGTCAGCACCGTCGCAGGTGGCGAGGGTGATGGTGAAGTACTCCTGGAAGAGAACACCGACGGAGCTGATGTCGCGACGCTCGAACATAGACTGGAGCTCGGTCCAGATGAGGTGAGCTCGCATTTCACGAGCTTAGAAGTGGCGCATGAGGGTGTCAGGGAGGGCACCGAGGAGGATGGTGCAGGCGCGGTTGTCGGCAGCGGCCCAGGCGATGCTATTGGGGACGTAAGTCGCCATGGAGGTGTTGTACTCTGCAGTCAGCGCCAGGCGAGTGGCACGCTCCGACGTCACAAACTCGTAGTTGAGTACAGCAACCTCTTGGTCGGCTTTGCGGATGAGGTACTCGCGGCAGTCATGGAGGAAGGTGGCGTCAGCAGCGACCTGAAGCTCGGTGGTATTGGCCACGCCCAGGCTAGGCTCTAGAGGAGGGGGGCCTGGAGCGGGAGGGAGAGTGGGAGGTTCGCCAAGGTGATTGGGTGCAGTCAGCTGGAGAGCCTGTGGATGGCGAAGGAGAACGTTGAGGACGCAGTAGGGTCCGACAAAGGTGTCCTGAAGGACGCGGCGAATGCTGCCAACAAACAAGTGCCAGTTGATGGCAAATCGATCAGCAGCAAGTTGCAGCTTGTCGACCGAGGAGGCGTCGATGGGAGGGGGGAGAGGGGCAGGAAAGGTGGTAGCCATGAGGGGCGGCGGCGGGTGGATCCGGGGCGGCCAAGGAGGAGACGACGGCGGGTGGACCCGCGGCGGTCAGGGGGGAGGCGACGGCGGGTGGACCCGCGGCGGCCAGGAGTGGGGGGGGGGGGACTGCTCCTGCTTGGGCTACTGCACTCCTCTGGCTGCTGCTGCTGCTGGACCCCTCCGGCTGCGGGTGCTGATGCTGTTGCTGCTGCTGCTGCTGATGCCGCTGTTGCCAGTGCTGTAGCCGTTTCTGCCGCTTCCGCCGCTGCTGCCGCTGATACCGCTGCTGCGGCTGCTGCTGCTGCGGCCAAGGAGAGGAGGGAGAGAGAGAGGAGGAGGGAGAGAGGGGGGAGGGGGAGAGGGGGGGGGGAGGGAAAGGAGGATGTAGTCGCAGGTGCCACTGCTGCCGCTGCTACTGCTGTTGCTGCGAAGAGAGGGGAGAGGGAGAGGAGGAGGGGGAGGGGGGGGGGGGGGGGGGGGGGAAAGGAGGATGCAGGCACGGATGCGGGTGCCGCTGCTGCCGCTGTTGCCGCTGATGCCGCTGAGGAGGAGGGGGGGGAGAGGGAGAGGAGGTGGGAGAGGGGGAAGGGAGGGTGCAGCTGCTGCTGCGGGGGGGTGGGGGAGAGGGAGAGGAGGAGGGAGAGGGGGAAGGGAGGATGCAACTGCTACGGCTGGTGCTGCCGCTGCTGCTGGTGAGGGGGGGAGAGGGAGAGGAGGAGGGAGAGGGGGAAGGGGGGGGAGGGCTGGATGGCCCGTAGGAGGAGGAAGCGAGGGGGGGAGGGGGGGGGGGAAAGGGGGGAGGGGGGGGGGCGGAACGCCCATGGGAGCGGATCGGATAGGCGAAACGCCCGTGGGAGCAGAACGGATAGGCGAAATGCCCGTGGGAGCAGAACAGACGGGCAAATGTTCCGCGGGAGCAGGACGGGCGAAATGCCCGCGGGAGCACAACGGACGGGCGAAATGCCCGCGGGAGCAGAACTCACGGGCGAAATGCCTGCGAGAGCAGAACTGACGGGCGAAATGCCCGCGGAAGCTGAACTGGCAGGCAAAATGCCCGCGGGAGTAGAATTGCCGGGCGAAATGCCCGTGGGAGCAGAACGGATGGGCGAAACGCCTGCGGGAGCAGAAATGGCGGGCGAAACGCCCGCGGGAGCAGAACTGACGGGCGAAAGGCCCGCGGGAGCAGAACTGATGGGCGAAATGCCCGCTGGAGCAGAACTGACGGGTGAAATGCCCGCGGGAGCAGAAGTGACGGGCGAAATGCCCGCGGGAGCAAAACTGACGGGCGAAATGCCCACGAGAGCAGAAGTGACGGGCGAAATGCCCACGGGAGCAGAAGTGACGGGCGAAATGCCCGCGGGAGCAGAACTGACGGGCCAAATGCCCGCGGGAGCAGAACTGACGGGCGAAATGCCCGCGGGAGCAGATTTGGCGGGTGAAATGCCCGCGGGAGCAGAAGTGACGGACGAAATGCCCGCGAGAGTAGACTTGACGGGCGAAATGCCCGCAGGAGCAGAACTGGCGGGCGAAATGCCCGCGGGAGCAGAACTGACGGGTGAAATGCCCGCGGGAGAAGAACTGGTGGGCGATTGGGGGCGTCGGCGGCGGTCTAGGCTACGGCGATTAAGTGGGGAAGGGTGGGCCCATGGAAGAAAAAAAAACTGGAGGGAGGGGAGAGGTAAGGCCTAGGAAAAATTAGCTATATACCATGTTAAGATTGTTAAGTGAATCATTAGTTTGATTAGGGAAAAGGTGGGCATACATAGGATGCAAGAGGAGCTTGGAAGGGAAGGGGGAATGTTGGGTGGTTGGGTAGTCCCTAAAGCAACTTGCAAGGAGGGGGCACCCAACTTGTGGGTTGCAAAAAGGGGGTACCCAACTTGCACTTGGGGGCTCCAACACTTGTGGGTTGGATTGACACCCCAACTTGCAAGTCTACACCCCAAAGTTGGGTGTAGTCCTACAAAGCAAGCTACACCCAAAGTTGGGTGTAGCCTCAACCCCTTTTATACTTAGCATGCTATACACACATTTCTAACAGCAGCGCCACCCCCCGGGGGTGCCAGATTGGTTTCCCTCAGGGCCACGTGGGCCGGGTCACGATGGCGAGGGCATCGGGCCTCCTCTCCGCCCTTTCCTAGCAGGGAATGGGACGTCCTCGACCCGAATAGAGTGATGCCACTGCCTAATCACAAAAACAGGGGGGTTGGAGGGGTTCTAGGTTGGAGCTTGCGTCAAGTCATACCTCTAGTAAAACCCCTCTCCCTCGTCTATCCTTCCTCTCGTTCATCTCGCTTCCTACCTCAGATCAGAATTGCTGGCGAGGGCGCCCCCACTAACCACCTTCGTTGGCGGCGTTGCTTGATTACTGATTCAGAAAATTGCGGGAACGCGCTGTATGAATATCCTGGATTTCAGAGCACTCGAATCGCGGAAGCCTGAGCGGCTTCAGCCGTGGGAGCGTCAACATGGTGAGCGTCAACATGGTGAGCGTCGCACACAACTTTGGTCCTTCCAGAGTTAATTCTGGATGCGGTATACAAAATTCGAGCGAGTTGGTACCTTAGCTCTGGTTTTCTTGATCGTCCATCCAACGCGCTGAATCTTGCTTCCTTTGGAAGACAGACACGAAGGCTGCCTTGATTGTCATCCAAACCTTCCATACTGTTCCCTAGGTGACTTTTGAGTCGACTCAAAAGTCACCGTCATCGTTTATCCAACACGCTGAATCTTGCTTCTGTTGGAACACAGACACGAAGGTTGGCTTGATTGTCTTCCAAAACTTCCTTGTTCCCTTCGCTCCAAAGTTTTCTCCCTACTCTTCTCTGACCTTTCCTGCTCTGTTCATCTGCTAGGGTTTCAACAAGGAGCCGCCAATGAGCGGCCAAGGCCAAAGCTCAGATCGCGCTCCTCTGCTCGCCACCTCCACCGCCTCCTACTCCTCTTTTAGTCCTCATCATCCCACTCCGCCGAATCCTCCTCCTGCTTCTCCTGCTGCCGCTACTCCTACTCAAGCAGCAGCAAAATCAGCAGCAAGGGGGCCAGCAGCAACAGGGGGGGGAACAAGGGGGCCAGCAGCAACAGGGGGGGCAGCAACAGGAGCGGCAGCAACAGGGGGGGCAGCAAGGGGGGTGGCAGCAATAGGGCGGGCAGCAGGGGGAGCAGCAGGAGGGGTGGCGGAGGGAATGCCACTCATGTATCCTGGCCTTGTCCAGCCCGTGGGAACAGGAAGTACTCGTCTCCCGCTCACCCACGCTCCTCCAGATCACCATCCCTCCCCAGCAACTCACCTTTACAGCCCTCGTCGGAATCGTCTTCGTCCTGGTGAGCTCGTGCCAGTCGGGCAACGCCATCCCTGCCATTACAGTCCTTGATGGCGGTTGTTGCCTACTTGTCAACCATAGCAACCAGCAAGCATGCTGGCCCAATTCCTCCCTCCTTGCCTTCGAATCAATCAATCAGTCCGATTCTTTCCCTCCCAGTCTCCCCCTCCCACCACACACCATTTCTGCCATTAAATTCCTTGATGGCGGTTGTCGCCTACTTGTAAACCATAGCAGTAGTAAACTATGGAGTTCCCCTCCTCCAACTTTATTACACCATTCCCCTCTGGGTTGCTTGTATCTGGTGGGTGTCTTTTTCCAGGCTTTCCAGGCTTCTTGTGCGTTCGCGTGCTATCTTTGGCACATCACGGCCCAAGTTGTTATGATGTGTCCCTGGTGTGACTATCACGAGTCACGGCTTGCGTTGACTTTTGAGTCGACGTAAAAGTCAAGTTGTTATAATGTGCCATGGTGTGAATGTCACGAGTCATGACTCGCGACCGTGTAAATATTGCCACCTTCCCCCACCTCCCCCACTTCACTTTCGCTTCCCCTTCCCCTTCCTCCCCGCCAGCCTGCTCGCCTACTTGCTACTGCGGCACATCATGGTTGAGACAGTGTCACGTCTTCCACCCCCTTCCCCTTCTCCTCCTCTCCTCCTTGTCCCTGCCAGCCTGCTCGCCCAATTGCTAGTGCCATGCATCATAGGCGAAACAGTGACTGTTGACTCCGCCATGTGTCAGCTGACCATTCGTTGATAGGTGATGGGTCTGACTCGGCCTTGCGTGTCCACGGCTCGCACTGATCGCATCACTGGCTCTGGAGTCAACTTCACCACGCAGGTATTGTTCCGTTCTCGTTTTGTTCTCGTACTCTTGTGCCTTCAAGAAACAGATTCTGCATTCCTCTCTGTGGCCCGTCCACGGCTCGCACTGATTGCATCAGTGGCTCTGGAGTCAACTACGCTGTGCAGGTATGATCTCTTTGCAGTTTATACACTCAAGGAACCATGCAGGCCCTTCTCTTGTGCTTTCTCTCTGTGGCTCTCCGTGGCTCTATTCCACTACCGCCACCACCTCTCTATTCCGTTCAACTCCTCGCCTTGCAGGACAATGAAACTACTACGTTCTGCCAGCTCATCATGGCGGGCAGCAGAACTCTCTCCTTTGGCTCCCCCCCAAGCCTCCCCCCCCTGCATATTCCTTCTATTCCGTCCAATTCCACACCTCGCAGGACGATGACACTACCACGTTTTGCCAGCTCACCATGGCGGGCGGCAGGACTCTCTCCTTCAGCTATCACTTGTCGCTACCAGAGCAGCGCTGGCTCTCCCTCCTCATCGCATCCTTCCTGCAAGTGCCCTGGTTTTAACCACCATTTCTACAGTCCTACTGACTCAACACTGTTAGCGCCTGTACAGTGTTGCTCGGAGCAGTGCTGGCTTTCCCTTCATATTGCCTCCTTCCTGGAAGTGCCCTGAATTCAACCATCCTTCCTACGATCTTACTGACACGACATAGTCGGTCGGCGTTCCTAATTTTTATTTATCCTAGCCGACTCAGCACTACTGCTCGTGTTACGTGTATCATAATAGTGCTCGTTCTCTTCTCTCCACTTCATTGCGGAGCAAAGTTGGCTCTCCCTCCACATCGCATCATTCTTGCAAGTACCTTGGTTCCA